ATAGTGTGTTGTGGTCTCTTAGAGATCTTACTTGACGAACCTTCAAAGTTCCTTTAAATGGCAGAACCTCAGCTTTATTTATAGCATCTGAAAATTTTTCAATTTCACAAGCATGAATCTCCAAAAAGGATATGCCTGAGCAGTTGGCTTTCAGGATTTCAACCAATTGGCTGAAAGAACTCACATCAGATCCCTGAGCAACAATACGGTCTGCAGACCTTTTACAAACTCCACCAATGCCGTCCGGGGCACCTTTACCATGTCCGGCCTCATGGTAGTTCCAGGTAACTGATTGTAGTTCCGGAAAGTAGCTATAGATGCCATTTGTAATGAATGCAAACATTTTCTTGTTGCGGTATTGTGTACTGGGGCTGTCGCTAAGAAAATGCAACAATTTTACCCCATTATCAATATAGAGTTTGATCAGTGGAAACAGATGAGCCCATATGGCACCGGGACCATGCTCCAACGACTCTGATAATGTACAAAAACTGTCAACCTTCAAGTCGTTTTCGTGTGCTCGGCTATAAATTACCACAGTATGCAACGTAATCTGTTGCCTTGATCCTCCAAAATGATAAGACTGGATTTCTTCTGCGTACTTTAGATTATAATTCTCAGAAAAGTCACAGTGAATGAGTATTTCCTCATTTGTCATGTTCTGTTTCAGTGTCTTGATTGCTTTGTATTGGTGAAAAATGCGTCCCTCGTGTGCCAAAAAAAGAGGCAACCTATCTTCAAATTTGGTCAAAAGATCCGATATTTCTATCTCTTGACTAATTTTAGCAATTTTCAAACTGCTAACGTTGTTTTGTGATCGTTTGCTGAAATAAGTTTGTTTTATGTTTTTCCACTGACTATATGATACAACGTTACCAGGATCGTACTGCTCAATATATTTAGGTTTATATAATGCACACACTGAACATTTCCTTAGTAGACATAGTTAGGTCATTGCGGGTCTCACATGTCATTGACTCAATTATTGCTTCTGTAGTTTTGCAATGCAACACTTTACTTTGCCAAAGAGATAATACAATCAACTCCATGTTACTATGTGTCATACATTTACATGTGTCTCGATTTTATCGAACTTTATCCAGAAAGGTTTACATTTACAGAAAAATGTATAACTCACCTTGACATCGGCGTATTTTTTACAAAACTCTTTGAACAAATTCTTCAAAGTGTTTGTTAAATATCTTTTTTGATAGGTGAATTTATTCTTTGTAACATAGTCTTTCTTACCGGGGCAAATCCGGCTATTAACATCTTCCTGTAAGAACGCCACAATTTTATTCCTATTTTCAGATGCTCTTCGGTTTTTCTGATACTTAACATCTACATTCCTATGGCTGTATTCCACTACTCTTGTTTTTGTATATCGAAAAACTTTGGAACACGTTCGCTGAAGCTTGTACTTCTTAATAATTTTTCCATCCATTATTTTCCTAAATACCTTCTTTTCTTTTGGGCTTAACGATTTATAACTCTCTGACAGCTGGTCCTTGATGGTCTCCCCAAAAATAAGTTGTTTTTTAATTTCACCTACTCTTTTTTGCTGTATTGAAGACCTTTCTATGATCTGTTGTACTCTAGTTCCAGGTGAAACTGATGGGGAACTAGTTTGTTGAGCAACATTTTTATTTTGATGCATTGACTTCTTTAGGCGAGAATACTTTTTCTTCCACTTTCAGACTTTTTTTTAAGGTCTGCTATTTTAGCTTCATTTTTTCTTTTTTCTCGATGTGCTTAAGTTTCATTCTATTACTTTTCTTTATTGCATGTTCCTTTCTTCCATCTAACTGTTTCGTTAAATGATCTGGCACATGTGCGTTTTCGGATGATCTTAGTCTTAATCGATCTCGGTGAGACTTTGTATATTGTCTCCATTTCTTGCGTTGCGATCTAATTTCTCTTTCTGTCACTTCCGAAACAAGCTTCCTTTGTTTATTCTTTCGTTGACGCAAGTATTTATGATGCTCTTTTTCCCGCTGCTCCTCACGTTTTTCCGGATCTTCTCTTATTTTACGCCTCCGTTCTCGTTCCCGGTCACGTTTAATACGCTTTCTTTCTTCATCAGATATTTTCCTATGTCCAGACATCTTACACCCTACTATAGACTAGTAGATAGACCTGTGAACTGTAAAAAATACTTGCATCAATGCATGTTTTCTATAGTTTTATAGAGAAAAAATGGAATCAAGTCAGTTCCGTGTCACACAGTCAGTTCCGTGTTTTCGCAATGACACGGGACTTACAACCACGGGACTGACATTATTGCACTTACAGCAACAAAAAAAGTAATCGGTTCAAAATTTCTAATTAGTTTTAGTATGACAATTATGGTTTTTGATACCCGAAGTACTCATGGGGTATTTGAAGCAAAAAGCAAAAAATAGTAGCTTTAAAACACTTACCACGGTACTGACAAGAGACAGGTTTCCAAGACACTTTTTTACTTGTCGGACCCAGTTCCTGCTTAACCTATCAGTAATCTGTGCACAGCTTCCGACGATTGAGCCAATACTAACAATTTCCAGTTGGGATAATACGGATGTCACTTACCATACCTTCCCCCACTACTTTATGGCGTGATATATGGCGCGGCACGGGACTGGCCAGATAGCTGGAGACAAATGCTTTCCGAAAAATTACTAAATTAATTATTCTTTTTGTTTCACCAATTTTCTATATTGTGGTTAGCTATGTGCATACTTGCGATATAGGTATATCAAGTTTTCAAAACAGTACTTCAGGTGAAAAAAATGGCAGGTATTATCAAGAGACATCCGCTAGGACATGGCACGGGACTGACATTTCAGTGGCATTTTCTCAGTTATTTTGTTCTAAATGGAAGATAAATATTTCATATAGTGTGCAAACCGTAAAAAATATGTAGCCAAACGCATCGTATCAGATAATTACATTGAAAAAATTATAACAAATCAGTTATTAAGAGGAACTTACGATGACTCATGTTAGGGATATTAACCCAAATGCGATCTTCTGAAGAACCGTTGAGAACTTTCTTAATATCCGGACCTGAGGATCGCTTCAAGTATCTACTAGTATCTTCTCTTTTGTTATGGTGATGCTATTCGCCAGTTATGAGACACTTCAAGGCTTAATGCTTGAAATAAAATGCTATCCAACGAATAAATGGATCGTCAAAGATATCCAAGTTTGAAGTTGATTAGTTTTAGTCACGCTCGCGAGTTAACTTCCGGCAGTAGTAGATTATAAAGGGTATATCAGTAAGAACGCAATATTTGAATTTAGCGCCATTTTGGCAATCATAAAGTCATGATGATTGTGACATGACAGATCGGTAGTAGACAGGCGGGAGTTCATGAAAATGAAACGTTACACAATAGAACAGCGTATCCTAATTGTTAAAAATTATTACCAAAGTGGTGAAAGTTTAATTGCCACGATTCGAAAAGTGCAGCTAATATTCGGCCGGAATAATTTTGCTACCCCATCCACTGTGAAAAGAATAATTCAAACATTTGAAAGTACTGGTTCTGTTAATGATGTGAAACATACGTGACGAACTCGCAGCGGTCGTTCAGAAGAAAATGTCAGAGCAGTTCGCAAAAATGTAGCCAAGAGTCCAGGGACGTCGACTCGTCATCGCGCTCAAGAATTGGACATTAAAACAGCCACCCTCCAGCGTATTCTAACGAAAGATTTACATCTGCATGACTACAAAGTCCAAATTGACTCAACAGCTTATGCCAGCGGACGATGCACAGCAAAGAGAGTTTAGCAATTGGATCCTTGGCCAACAATATGTGAATGGTGATTTTGTAGACAAAATCATTTTTAGCGATGAGGCCCATTTTCATCTCGTTGGCTTCATACATAGACAAAACTGCCGGATTTGGGGCACAAAATCAAAGAGTAATTCATCACTAATTAATCACGTGATGATTAACTGTATGAAGGTGGTAAATAACATTTGGATCAAAAATGAGTTCAATATATTTGGCGAAGCCTAGAAGTAGTACTCTGTCCAGAAAACAGGTTGGTTCTACTGTGGACAATAACTGTTAGTGTTAACAACCAGTTTTCCAGACAGAATTTTACATATAGCCTTCACCAAATATACTGATCTCATTTTAACCCAAATGTTACTTACCACCTCCATCCACTCAACCCTTCAAATGTGATTGTACTAAAGAAGGCCACTGAGGTGGAAGAAATGTTTAAAATATACAGTATTTAAACTATGTGGTTAGAATTGTAAGGGCGCAAAATGAAGGATTAATACTATAGTTATTTTATTTGAAATAACTACTTGAATAATCATTACAACTTCTTTTCTCTCTATTACAATTTTTTGTCCAAAGTTGTAAGCATTTTAGTTCTAAATATGTCTTGTTAACAACATTTCGCCGATTGCTTTAAATACAAACCTTATATCTGCTCATACATTTTATGTGAGATCTAAAAGTAAATGAATACTGAGAAGATTATATATTAACTTATATACACATATAAATAAGAAAATAGATACAACTGTTGCAGATATGTTTTAATACATTTCATTGCATATTAGCTTTCGACTTAAATATGATCTTAGTGAATGAAACAATCGTTTTGTGAGCATCAAATTAAGCATTGATGTATTCTTGGGTCCTTAGAGCCGCGTAGTTGTGAAGAATCTACCTCGCATATAGGTGATGCATAGATCTTGTTCAATATTACCACTATTGTCAAAATCTTGCTCTAAATGTCTCACATTTCTCAAAATATCCTCACTTACTTCAAAATTTGAATTACCTGACCCTACAACACTGTTGTTGAGATGAAGCCACAACCTGAGGGGCATTTATTTCGTTAAGTATTTGTTGAATTTCCTTTCAAACATGTCTAATGAGTGATGCTCACTAATAACTTTATTATAGTTCCTTTCACTTTGTGACACTGTCTAACAAAAAAAAAGAATGTGAGTAGAAAATCAAAGTTGAATATTGTTTTTAGTTAACGCAATATTACATTCTACTACTGCTGAGGATAAAAAAGATATATGAATATTTTGTTTTATATCTTTTTGGTGCAATCTTTAACCAAGTTTTAATGGCATCTTCTTCACACATCTTTTTTGGTAGCATTGGTGCCAGAAAGAACAGCCCCTTAAAATAAAATTTGAATATATAGATGTGATATAATCAACTGCATACAAAATAAGATTACAATCCAACCATAACTTAAAATCAATATAATTCGACTGGGGAAAAATAAAATATGACAGCTTAAATGCAGAATAAATTGTCTGATAGAACTTTCTATGTTTTATTTTTTTTATTCGTAAATATTTTTTTACTTGTTTACCTATATATAAAGCTGTCACATAAAAAAGAATTTTTGAATATAGTTGTCCACCAAGTCTTGTATGTAACATCAGATACAAAAAACAAAATTTGTAAGCAATAATAGGTCTGAAACTGTTTGGGAACCTATAAAGATCTATTACAACCCTGTTGAGAAATGAAGGTTTGAATGTCTTCTTCTCTTGTCTAGTTCCCAAATAATTGTAGCTAACTGCCAAATTATTAGATATTAGGTGCCTCAAAATTATATTTGTTCTATTGGTAATATCACGTCCCCCTAACTTCGAAAAGATCTGAAAAATAAAATAATATTCTCCTAATTTGGTCATATAACCAACTAAAGTTCCAATGACATGTATCAAATCCGAAGGCTTCTGCTCTTCAGTATAAAAATGCTGTACAGCTTGACTTTCGCTGAACAGTCTCATTGTTCTACAAACATAAAGTCCCACTTTGTAATAAAAAGGTCTTGAGTGTAATGAATTTTTGTAGTTTAATTAGCAGCTGCATTATTTGAAAAATATTCAAATTGCATTGATGCTGTTCCTTGATGACTGTCATAGAGAGACTTAAAGTAATTAAATACATTTCGGGGCCGTATTGTCAGTCATTCTTACAATTGAAGGATGCCTTTATGGCTTCCTTGATTTTCATAGTATTTTCTCCTCTTCAAAACACTGCGGTTGTGAAGTTATGTTTTCTTCTTGAATCATAGAAAGTTTCAGGCTCATAAAATAGATATAAATCAAAAGTATGAACATTTTGGTGCGAATAGATATTTGTAACATAACCTCAAAATCGAGCGGTAAACCGGAACAGTAGAAAACTGTGAAAATCAAGGAGGCCATAAAGGCGTCCTACAATAATTGTTGAGACGACTGACGATAGCGATTCGGCCCTAATTATAGGTAAAGTTTGAAGAATATACCTACCGTCCTCAAAAAACACTCTTTGGATATCGTACTGCTTATACGGTACTTGCTCCTTGTTCGTACTTGCTGCTTATATGGTGGGTGGTGGCCACCACACCCGTTTCTTTCTCGGCGTCAGCCACTTTTCATGCACTATGGCAATATCGCCATAGATACTGTCACGACGCTGTTCTTGATTAATCGATGAGCAGGAACACAGTATGGCTTTTGTCAACGCACTTAAACTTTAGAATTTACAGGAAGATAAAGATACGTGCACATTTCGCAACATGCAAAATTGATGCAGGTTGGAGAACGCGACGTAAGAAAAAACATGAGGTTCGGGATGGGGAGCGTGGGAATGGCTTTGATTGGATCGGATGTCTGTTCAAAAACATGGTTGCCTAATGCTGCTTGTTCAATGTCCCAAATGTTATCGAGTTGGAGAAGCTTAATGTATATAAAATTCCACAGGAAATGTACTAGACTCAATCAGAAAACAACTATTTATGAACTCTAGGAAATTGTTAATAGTATAGGTATGAAAAAAAGGATAGATCAAAGGAACGACATACAAAGATCAGCTTCAGCCAAAAGCATATACAGGGTTATCCAAATTAAGTGTCCACCATTAGTAACTTTGTTATTAGTGAAAATACAAAGTTGTTTGAATTAGCAAACTAGTAGCATTTTTAACGCTGGTAAAAATGAGAAATAAAAAAAAAACAATTGAGAGTCGTTATTTTGATTTTTTTCAGTAAAATAACATTTTTTTAAAATAGAAACCCCTGTATATTACATTTTTTTCTGTTAAAGCATCAAATTTTAAACAAAAAAGCTTACAATAACTTTTCTCCTAGGTTACAAATTGTTGAAGTTATGGCCTCCAATCTGAAACAATTAAATTGTATCGACAAACTTTATTTTCAGCATCAACTTATAATCTTACAAAATACAATAACAATTTTTTTTAAAGAAGATGCTCGAAAACACCACCTTGTTCTTCAATACATTTTTGGGCACGTTTTTCAACTGCTCGAACTGTCTTAAGTATGGTCCTACCATCTATCTGGGTTATCTTTTCCCTAGCTGCAGTCTTTAACGCGTCAATGTTATCGTACCTTCACTTGTAAATTTGGTTCTTTAAGTAACCCCACAAGAAGTAATCAAGTGGGTTTAGATCTGGTGATCTGGGAGGCCACTGTATTGGGCCATTTGTTCCTATCCACTGACCATTAAAAGTAGTACTTAGAAAATGATAAGTACCTCTGGAGTTGTGGGCAGGTGCGCCATCTTTCTGAAAATGCAGATGATGTCTACTTATAAGATCCAATTCGTCTAAGAAATTAGTCAGAATTTCTGACATAAATTCCACATATCTTTCACCAGTTAGGGTTCCCTCATAAAAGAACGGGCCAACAATTTTTGAACCAATTATACCGCACCAAACGTTGAAACTGAAACGGACTTGTGGGCCTCTTGGATGTACTAACAAAAGATTTTCTCTTGACCAATAATGGTGGTTTTTTCTATTAAACATTCCAGAATTTGAAAAATTTAATTCATCTGTCCATAAAAGGTAACGAAAGTTATTTACATTTTGGCGACAGAAGCTAAGATACCAATGGCAAAAAACAAGTCTTCTCTCTGGATCCCCTGCCAAAAGCGTTTGAACTGGTCGGTACTTATACGGAATAAATTTGTATTTTTTTAAAATCCTTTGAACAGTACCATAACTGAAATTAGAGTCCTTGAGAATATCTGCTATTGAATTCTCACGATAAGCTTCAAAATATCCAATAACTGCAATTTCCGTGGCCTCGCTTATTATGAATTCTTTTTTTGCCCTTGTTTTAGCAAAAACATTTTCGTTGCCCCTAAATTTTCGATAAAGTCTCAGAAAATATCGTTCATACGGTTGAATGCGAGCGGGATATAATTCACTGTAGTATTCTCTTGCTCTCAAGGAGGATTTTCTGCACACTAAATAGCATTCTAACATATCACACTTTTCTTCATGGGAGAACATTTTTCTTTAAATTAATGACACAATAAAGCTTATAAACAAGTATTTATACTAATGTTTGACGTTATTTGATTTTATCATTGTTTTCCAAAGCCTTCTAGTTGCGAGTATGTCCAGTTTAACAATTTGTCGTTTATCTTAATGCTGTCAAATCGCGAACGCCATGTTGTTTTCATAGCCGTCTTAATATTATAATACTGCAAATAATTAAAAATATTTATCGTTATTTTGACTTTATTTTTGACTTTGGCGGAAAAGTCATTATGAACTTTTTTGTTTAAAATTTGATGCTTTAACAGAAAAAAATATAATATACAGGGGTTTCCATTTAAAAAAATGTTATTTTACTGAAAAAAATCAAAGTAACGACTCTCAATTGTTTTTTTTTATTTCTCATTTTTACCAGCGTTAAAAATGCTACTAGTTTGCTAATTCAAACAACTTTGTATTTTCACTAATAACAAAGTTACTAATGGTGGACACTTAATTTGGATAACCCTGTAGACGCAAAAAAATCATTACAAAAGTAATTATAACAAGAAAACAATCTGTAACTTTACAAATCTGAAATATCAGTATGTAAAAATCTTGGGAGCTAATACCGGTGATTATGATGAATATTCTGCAATCTGGCAATGCAGCTATGACACTCTTTATCATTGTCGCATCCCCTTTCAAGGCGCGATATTTAAAATTTGTTGGTCATGAAATGGGGAAACATCGATATTATAATTAATTATCAATCACACTTTCATATTTTATTATTTCAATAAGTTGGTCGATGATTTTCACTTAATAATGATAATACATATGTTTACACGACATTATTATTTATAACAAAGCTCGCAAAGCATTTTAGGTTCGATATGCGCTTTTATATTTTTGGGATCAAGATGTATCTACAAATAAATTACATCACCCAAACACTTATCATCATCATTCGGACATTCTCTGTTTGGAAGATTACAATTTAAATTTATGATAAAATGCCACGTCGTATCCACGTCTTTTCCACGTATATAAATAACCAACACAGGTACCGATGTATTTGCGCGGTCACTGTTTCACGTGGATAAGACGTCCCTCGTCGACCAGTGACGTGCTACACCGGATTTCCACGTTTTATCGATTATAATATTAGAATATAGGAGAAAATCATAACAAACTAGTACGCTTACCTTAATTAATCGGTTAAGTGACTGCAACATAACCGGATTTTATTCGCGGCAGTGGAAATTTGTATAGAGGTGTAAACACGTAATATTCACGTTTTATCGACGTGGTGTGGTTATATCGGACAAATTTAAGTGAAATTTTATCCATAACTGACGTCGAATAAATGTAGAATTTTTCCTAAATTTCAACTTCGACCAAAATCACCAAATATCAACATCGATTCCACGACACCGTGCTGGCTGGGTTGTTCCATACATAATTCCAAAGTATCATAATCCAATAAATATTTTAGTTGTTTGCTACGAAATATCATGTTTAATAGAACCTTGAAATATTGCGTCCTTATTGAAACACCCTTTACAATAGACTAGTTGACACTTTTTTCAATTAGGTCTTAAATAGTTAATATGTGTTCTATAAGACGAAAAAAAATAATACTATATTTTTCTCAGACCCAAAGGACCGTATTTAATGTAATGTATGTATGTAATTTAAACATATCATATGCTTTTCGCAGCATCACCTCGTAAACTTGTAAACATATAAACATGACATCTATTAGTTTACATATAGTAATTAGCGTTAATGTATCGTGCGAGAATGTAAAAACGCATCAATAAAGACCTCAAGAAAGTTGTGGATTAGAGTGCATAGCGAAATAAACTCTGTTTATTGCTTAGAGCATACCGTATGTTTGGAACATATTTTGCATTTTTCTGTGCAGATTTTATCGTCTCGTTTAAGTTGGACGTAACCCACGGTATCATAACCGATTACAATAATACCATATTAGATCAACTCAACTGCTGCATGGAATATAGTCTGGTCGAGTACTTGAGTACTTTCTTGTTTCGGTGATCAGAATTGGCGCCCTAGATTGTGTGATTCAACTTTATCAGCTTTTTCCTACTAGTTTCCCACCAAATCCGTTGATTTTGTACGTTTACAAAAAACATAAATCAATTTATCCATTGCTTGTTGGGAACTGAAGTGGATAAAAGGGCAAGTGATATATTTTTTTAGGGTTTCAGTCTTTGACATATCCAGTAAAGTTACATTTCACTAGAAAATTGGAACATTCGAGAGTCTGCAGTCCATTTTAAAGAGTTGTCATCAAATAAATCAAATAAGATGTATCTAAAATTTGCATTCCATGACATACCACTTATGCAATTAAGAAGTCCAAAATCTTAAAAAGTAACCTCCCAAATTGGAT